AGGAAAGAGGTCAACAATAACATAAGTTATTGTGACCGAGTGCAACTCACACTATGAATGCACGAAACACGAAGTAAGACATAATATGCAACATACAGTCATGCTAAAAAAAAATCAAAGAAAGCTCTTAAAATAGTTAAGCACTTAAGCAAGTAAGCATACATGTCAAATAAGACGCTCTTAACTACATAGGCATATAAGCATAAAACATGTCATACTACCAAACGTGTAATCAAGAAACACATAAATGTGTTATAAGCCAAAATATGTTATCAAAAGCATGTGAACATATCAAAGTAAATCAACAAAAGCATGATATGCACCCAAAACCCGTCGTCCTAAGGTATTCAAACCTAGAAGCTCTAATACCACTTAAGATAGCCCAAGTTTTGTAAACCCGGTGCGTCAGTGATGACCAAAAGATGACCCGATAATGGATCTGAAATGCGGAAGAAAAGGTGGAACAAGGTCTTTGCAGATACAATGAGTCTCTAAGACACCAATGTGACCCTCAACGAGGTCACGAAACGCAGAGAAAATAAATGGGGAAGTGATGTTTCAAAAATGGACAAAAAAGGAACCTAGGGGAAAAATGGTCATTTCCAAGGTAAAATAGGGTACTACCGAGCAAACCATTGGAAAGACAACGAAAAATTAATGAATTTAGACTCAAGAATCACTTGATTCGGAGTCCGGATGAGGAAGATATGGCTAACGGAAGAAAGAGGGGTAAAAATGTCAAAATGGTCAGCCCTAGGTCATCTAACCAGTTACCAAGCCTTCCTAACCAGTTAGGAGGCTAAAAATGACAACAAAAACACTGCCCACACTCATCCAACTGGTTATGAGACCCCTTCTAACCGGTTAGAAAGCAAAAACCAGTACGCTCAACCCAATTGGGTTTTTGAGGGCCAAAATGACACTCTCTGGAAAAACACAAAAAAGAACCCCCCCCCCCCCCCCCCCAAAATCAAGTTTTTTACTCAGCTAAGGGGGCAGAAATGAAAAGTACACATTGTGAAATACCCGAAATGCCCCTGGAACAGAAGAGGGTAAAAACTCAACAAAATGCAACTTTAAGTTTTTGTTTCATCAAGATGGGCATTGTTTGCCAAAGTGAGCATGCAAGTGTATGAAATATGATAAAATAGATATGCTACAATGGCCTATGGCCTCATTACAATACATTTACAAGTTTTGGCATACTAAGCCTCAAATTCTCACAAATAAGCTACATTGGCACTACTCGAGTTTTAAAGAAAACATACTTATAAACTTGAAGTTTAATGGCCCTTAGCCTTATGTCATACATGCAAAGTAAGCTTCAAAAGGAGTTCTTAAATACATATTACATGAAGGAAGCCATCTTAGCTTCTACAATACCATACATCTATGGCATACAAAATATATCATCCAAAAGTAAAGCATAGTAAACAAGTGCATGTCCTTAAACAAAAATGCTTCAAATGGCTCATGAGCCTCTAAGGATGATGAGCATCCAAAAACATTGTCTCATTACCTGTAAAACTACTCAAACCACTACGGTGAGTAATCAACTTACTCGTAGGAAGAAGCATATGCGTATACCCTAAAGTTTCAATATCATTGCAAGATCAATATAGACGAATACAAGAGAGCATTCCACCTAACGTCTATGTTCAAGGTGTTCTAAGGGATCATCCTAAACTAACTTAATGATTCTTTAGCAACACAATATCAAAATAAATGTACTTAACAACATCAAATCGCATAAAACAAAAATTAAAAGTTACAATTTAACCATTAATTGTCAACTTGGAATTGAATGCGAAATCAAAAAGTGGAATCCTTGGACATCTAAGCTCGGAATTCTGCCTAGACCTCAATGGTTATTCCGGGCATTAACCCGTAAGGAAGACCACCCTAAGTGCGCACTATCTCAATTGGGGAGAACTCATACCTCCCGTACTAGAGCCAAACTCTAGCCATTTCACTTATAACAATATCCCAAGAGAACCCAAAATAAACCAAATAAGTTCACAACTTATACATAATTTATACAATGCACGAAATCACCTTCCATGCACAAGTAGGTTATAACCACACAATCCATGTCTTAGGGCTTCCAAGTCTAGAATGGCATGATAAATGACAAGTACTCATCATGATAAAATGTGCAAAACAATACCCCTAACTTATCACTTTAGATCATGTCCAAACAATAAGCTTTATATACTAGATTACAACATTATAGTATTAAGCTTGTAAAACAATCACAATTGTCATCAACAAGATCATAGAATTATCACCACCATAAATATAGCAATTCAAGACAACAGGAATTGTATATAACATTAATAATTCTGCAGGAACTCTATATCACTACCACATGTGAAAATACTAAAATTTAGCATACTACTAAATTATATAATCCTTCTATACATGGTTTATACATATCATACATGCTTAAATCAACAAACCCTATGTCAAGAAGTGAGGGTTTCCTATAATATGCAAGACTATCATATTATAAGCATGTACACAATATATATTAAACCCCAAGGATTATAAAACACTTAAGGTATAAACATACTACCACCCCTACCTTAATAGAGAATTGAACCTCTCACACACACACAATGCAAGACTTAATTGTAATCCTACACTTATCACAAATCAATGGCTCCTTCTTAGACTTAATCCTAAGCCTACACTTGTCAACCATCTAAGCCAACAAGTACACCAATCCTACGCCAACAAGTGGGTAAATCTCCACCCTCCAAATGTCAAAAGTTGATGCTCCCTAGTCACTCCACCCCAATTCCAACAAGTGGCTCCATGAGAATGTGACACTTGTCACATTTTTCAAAAATTACAAAAATGTCCTTTTTCAAAATATCTTACAAATTAAATTACAAAATGGTCCCTAAGACGAAAAATAATTATTTCCATAATTACACTAAAACCCCAAAAATAAAGATTAATTATAATAAAGTATGCATCCATGCCCTTTATGAAGAAAGTAAGCAACTAGCATGCTTTTCTACAAAAGTAAAATTACCAATATCATGAAAATCAAATATCATGGATACATGCAAAATCAGAATCGAATCTGAGCACAAAAAGTAAGGTTATGCAAGGAAAAATGATAAATGGGAAAAGGACGAAATAGGGAAAAGACGAAAAAAGAAAATCGCCGAAAAAGGATAAAGGAGGAAAAAGTCTGGGTCATTACACATCAGTTGTATGCCAACTATAAAAAATGGGAGTTTCGGTTGATCCTTCCAAGATTAAGGCCGTTCTGAATTGGGAAAGTCCACATTATGTGTTCTAGATTTGAAGCTTTCTAGGCTTAGCACAGGATATTTCTCACCTAGCCGCTCCAATGATGAGGCTTACCTGTAAGGGTATAAAGTTTGTATGGAATAAACCATGTGAATCTGCTTTTCAGGAGTTGAAGACAAGGTTGACCACGACACTGAGTTTGATCATACCTGAGCGTGGCTTGGGTTATGTCATTTACTATAACGTTTCCTGTAATGGTTTAGGGTGTGTTTTCATACAAGATAGGAGAGTTGTTTCTTACAGGTCTAGATAGTTGAAGACTCATGAGCACAACTACCCAACGTATAACTTGGAGTTGGCGGCAGTAATTTTCGCTTTGAAAAGTTTGAGGCACTACTTGTATGGCAAGAAGTTTGAAGTTTTCTTGGATCACAAGAGTCTCAAATATCTTTTCGTGTAAAAATATTTGAATTTGAGATAATAGAGATGGGTTGAGTTCATGGAGGACTACAACTTCAATTTGCAGTATCATCTTGGGAAAGCAAATGTTGTAACGGGTGTTTGAGTAAGAAGTCTCGTGGTGATTTGGCTTGTCTTGCTATACGAGAATGGAAGATGATAGAGGATATCGCAGCAATGAGGTTGCATTTCAGTGATAGTGGCGAGCCCGCCACATTGTTTAGTCTCATGGCTAAACCTATGCTTGTTTGTAGGGGTCATTGAGGCACAAAAGCAAGATGAAAAGCTTGAAGTTATTCGCTCTTGGATTTTGAGTGCTGAAATAGTCGAAGGTTGGACTTTGCATTTAGATGAAGCATTACAATTCAAAAGCTTGACAGTTATTCCTATACCCTATCGTGAGGATGTTTTATCGGAGTTTCACACTTCTCGTTTTGCGATACATCCCGATGGTACAAAAAATGTATCACAACTTAAGGCGGCAATATTGGTGGAAGGGGATGAAAAGGGATGTGGCATAGTTCGTGGCTAGATGCATTACTTGCCAACAAGTGAAGGCCGAACATCAGAGGCCGACAGGATTACTCCAACCATTAAAGGTGGCATAATAGAAGTAGGAGCATGTCACTATAGATTTTGTGAGGGAACTTCATTGGTCAGTGAGGGGGGCAATGACGTAGTGTGGGTCATAGTTGATAAATTGACCAAGTCGGCACATTTTTTGCCTATGAGTGTGTTGGACGATGTTAAGGTGCTCAGATTGTTGAATATGAATCAGATTATGAGGTTGTATGGTGCTCCAGTGACAATAGTTTCAAACGGGGATTCTTGGTTCACTTATAAATCTTGGGAGGGATTTCAGGCAGCGTGTGCTACGTAGTTGCATTTTAGCAGGCCTTCCACCCACAGATGAACGGCCACTTAGAGTGCACCATTTGAATTTTGGAGGATATGTTCTGGGCCTACAATAGGAGGACCACTTACCATTAGTTGAGTTTGCCTACAATAACAGCTATCAAACGAGCATTGAGATAGCTCCATTTAAAATGTTGTATGGTAGACCTTATAGATCATCGGTTTATTGGACTGAGGTAGGCAAGACAGCTATCTTAGGAATGGACATTGTGCGTGAGACCACGAAAAAAGTCAAGCTTATTAGGCAGAGTTTGCTCACGACACAGAGCCAACAAAAGAGCTGCACAGATAAACAGAGACGACAATTATCTTTTGAGGTGGGGGACCATATTTTTCCTTAAAGTCAATCCAGGAAATGATTGATGAGGTTCGGGAAGAACGGCAAGTTGTCGCCACGATTTATTGGTCCATTCGAGATCTTAGAGTGCATTGGGAAGGTTGCTTATCGGTTAGCGTTGCCACCACATATGGACACAGTTCATAATGTTTTTCATGTATCGATGATTCAGAAGTACAAGCCAGATCCATCACATATTTTGAGTTGCGTTGATGTTGAGGTCGACGAGGATATGACCTATGAGGAGAAACTGGTCCAGATTCTCAACAGACGAGAGAAAGTGTTGAGGGATAAGATAATTCCATTAGTGAAGGTTTTGTGGCGTCATCACAGCATGGAGAAGGTTACTTGGGAACGGGAACTGGAGGTTCGTTCCAAGTATCCGGACTTGTTTTCTTCTCTAGGTACGGCTCCATTTCCGGGACGAAATCCTTTTAAGTTGAGGAGATTGTAATATCCCAAATTTTTTTCAGATTTTTTGATATTTTCCTTTTATTTATTTTTCATACCTCATTTTGTTTACCCCGTGGGTCCCAAGGGTCTCTCGAGACGTTTTTATGAGTTTGGGAATTTTGAGAATGCATTTTGATTATTCTAAGCATGTTAAAAATTATGGGATCATTTTTAGAATTTTCGGAGTCGGGACCAACTTTGTGCTCTGGAATCTTTCCCGGTTCTCCATTAATGTTTATCATTGTATTGGCATATATGTATGTATATATATATGGTAAGATATTTTGGGGGCAAGGTTGTCTTTAGTGAAAGTATAGGAGGATATTTTGGGAAGTACAATGTGAGAGATAGGATCCACTTTAACCCAAATGAGTGGATTAGAACCAAGGAAGATTTTATCTTCCAAAGTTCACCCTTCTCTCTCTCCTCTATTTCGGCCACCCCATTTATCTTTCTAGTTTTCTCTTTATATATATATATATCTATACACACACATATAACCACATACTTTAAGATCAATTTTTAAAGCCTTAGGGTGAGATTTGAGGGAAGACCAAGGAGGCAAACTAGCTCTACTCCTTAAGGGCTATCAATTGACACCAATCTTGCTAACATTTGGAGGGATTTTGAATTTGGGGTAGCTTTAAGGGCTTGTTAGGCCTGCACCACTTGAGGTAGGGTTGCTTAATGCTTTATGTTTTGCCTCTTCATGAGTTCTTATTTTGATTTCATTACAAAGCATGTTTAACATTGAAGAATGTGAAGTGAAATTGCTAGTTATGTGCTGTTTTGATGAAAGATCCATGCCTAAGTATGATGATTGTGTAACTATGTGCAAAATGGTTTAATTTGATTTGTATGAGTAGGAGTTTCCATATTGGAAATGTTGTATTGATTGTGAAAAGTTCATATAGTTGCAAGACATGATTATTTGACTACATGGAAGCCTTAAGCAAGCTATGATTGATTAAGTATGACATGTGTACAATTTACTCATTACGTATTTGTTAAATGTAAAATAGAATGCAAGGATTTATTGTAGCATGTGAGTTAACCTCTTATTGATAAATAGTGCATTCATGTTACAGGCTTGGTGGTAAGAATTGTGTAGAATCATCAAAGGGATTTAAGTTTCTAAGAAAGGTTGTGAAATGATTTTTAGAAAGGAACCAGATTTTGCGAGTCCGGTGCTAATTTGACCTAGAGAGAGCACTTACCGGATTTGGACGAGTAATATTGCATTAACTAGGCCCTAAATGGTTGTTAGATTTCAAACTAGGGATAGTTAAGCAAAGTCAATTAGCGGTTTTTTATGTGAATTATGTTGGTTTTAAGACTGGGATTGGGATGGGAATGCATTTCATTGCATTGTAAATTGAATGCTAATTGTTGCTAGATATGTGGATGTATCCCCAAAGCATGATCCCAAAAGCTTTTTACCCTTTTCTTTGGTTGTTGACTCAAGGGAGTCCAAAGCCAAGGCCTTCAGTACCTCATACTAAGCCTCCATTCTCACCCCTTCCTTTAACATTTTTCAGATCACGGCAAGGAGGTAGTTGATGACACCCCTCTATAAATGTAGTCTGACTCGAAGAATTCCATCTTTTATATCTTTTGTAACTACTGATATATATATATATATATATTTGTAAATCTTGGAGAGAATGTATTATTTTGAAATTGTCACTACGATGATGGAGGCTCATTCTTTTGGGCATCTAATCACCAACTCTAGTCATTTCTTTTGTGACCTAATGAATAAGATGGAATGATTGGGAATGAGTCGCATATTGTTGGACCAAGAAGGGGGGGTTGAATTAGTCCTAGGTACTTTCTCTCTTTTCACTTAAGAATAAATATACATAACATGGAAGGTAGAGCCAGTACAATCAAGCAAATTAAATGGACACAAACCCTATAAATAGGGAAAAACCTTGGTTCTTAGCCTTAGCCAATAAATGCCTCCACTAGAAGTATAAACCTTATTACACACTAAGCTGTCTCACTCTCTGCACATACCCGGGCACAAGAATAAACACTAGTTTTCACAACCAATCCACACTCACTTGTTCACCATCTTCACTTGCTGCATGCAAGTAGTTACTCACTTAGCTGCCCCACTTTCCAACCACCTTGTACTCACTAGGACACTGACTTTCACTCCACCTACACATACACAAGATCAAATAATGTGCACACAGGCACTCCCCCAGTCCACAGCCCCTTTGCTTGGACACACAAAGCTCTCAATAGCTATATCAACAATGAGGTGAGGATGTAAAGCCTCACTACCACATACAATGAAGTGTCAATACACAAATACAATATACTCAAGCTGGAACACAAAATAAGAGTGAATACACACAGCCTTGAGTACCACACTACGAGAGACCCTAGCTTCACTTTTCTACAACAAGAGGGGTAGATCTGTTAAAAATAGCTTCCAAAAGGCTAAAACCCTATAATCAAGGGTAAAGAAGTAACTTCCCAATGTAGCTTCAAGAATGGCCTGCAATGGACTCCCACAGCTCTATATAGCTAATATACAGTTACACAGATGTCTTCCTCAATAAACACAACAAGGTAGAATAGATTTAGTGCATAATAGAGTAAAACCATAAAACCAAGGGTAAAGAAGTAACTTCTAAATGCAGCTTTAGAATTAAGCTGGACTTGTCACTCATAGCCTTGATATCTTCATATATCTTTGTTCAACAAGATTCATATTGATTAGAGCAATGCATTATACTTTCACTTCATAAATGTTCAAAACCCCATAACTTAGGGCTAAAGGGTAAAAAGGTAATTCAGCTTCATAGACACCCCAATTGTAATGACCCGGTCATTTTCTTCCTTTTCCTTTTTCTTCAAATTTTGCGGATAAATTTTTCCGTTGTCTTTTCTTTTTTGTGGATGGTTTTTCGTCACTTAGTGTCATCTTGAGTGTTCAGAAATGGTTTCTGAGACTCTTTTCTGTGGATTGACAACTTCCTTTAAGGACCGAGTCATTTCCACAATTTTCGTTTTTCGACACTATTTACTTTTTGTCCTTATTCCTATTTCATCCTTTTCCCTATTTCGTCTTTTCCCCGTTTGTCAATTTGTTGGCAAAACCCCACTTCTTGTGCTCGGAGTTGGTTTTTAACTTCACGTATCTTTATCGTGAGTGGTTTCCACGAAATACGTATCTTTACTTTTGCAGGAAAGTACTCTAGTTGCTCCCGGTGTCCATAGGGGCATGGATGCATAATTCTTTGAAATAAATTTTTTTTCTTGGGGTGTTTTTCGTAAATATGTTTTGAACATATTTTATTTCAGGGGTATCTAAGAAAATATCTTTTGGAAGATATTTTCATTCTGGGGCAGTTTTGCAGTTAACTCTTTTTGTGGGGGCCATTGTGCAATTAATGAAAGTTATTGTAAATTATCTTGTTTTGAGCCTGGATTCTTGTACGGGATTCATTTTTACTTTTCGTTGAGTCGTAAACTCTTAGAAGTCCCTTCTGGTCGATGTTTTCTAGTTTCAGGGTTTCTGGCCCCGATTTGCGCCAAACTTGTTTGAGGCATAACTTTCTGCTCGGGACTCAGTTTTTGACACCATTTCTTCTATTATTCTTATTTTCTCATTTTGAATCTTTTTCATTCATAGAGTTTTGCCATTTGAGCATGTCTGCTTGAATTTCACTTTTTCGGACCCGGCGGGGTCTGTGCGAGGCATTTTTTGGATTTTCCTATAAAAGGGGGATGAGATATTTTGATTTTCATCTTCCCCACTCATCTTGCACGACCAGAACTCCCATGGCAGCCCAAGGGAGGCTACCATCTCCTCTCTCCTCTTTTGAACTTCATTTCTTTGTTAAAAAGTTGAAGTGCCTTTACGTTTTGTGTTCGTGTTGACTACGCGCTTCTTTCACACTTATTAGAACCCATTTCTGGCCAAATTTTGGAGTTTGGGTTTGAGGTCAAGTTGTGTTTTTCATGGGTCCTCTTTGGAGTTTATCGTGCACGGCGTTGTCCCAGACAAAACCCCGAAGTATCGTCGGATTCAAAGCCGTTCATTTTGATGGCTTTTGAGATTTTCATCTCAAATTGAGGTAGGGGGTGTCTTAGGATTATATTTATGTTGTATTGATTGATATATAAGCATATACAACTTGTGAGCATGCCTTCCTTTAAGATTTAGAATTTAATTTAATTAATTTCTATATTTGGGATTTAATTCATATGTTAGTGTATATAACTTGGAATTAAATTGTGGCTTACTAGTAAATTAGGCCTTGGTATGTTGAATAACATATATTAAATTTGGAGCATTTGATTAAGAATTGCAAAACTTATTTAGTATTTATCTTTGGTGAAAGTTTAATTCACGTGGTCTTAGCAAGCATGAAATCAAGTTATGATGTGATATTTGGATAGGTTTTGGCATGCTCTCTAACATATATTAAATTGGGAACATTTGGAATTGATTGAAAATCTAGAGAAAAATTAATTAATGAGCTTAATTAATTTTATTTTAAGTGTATTGGCCACTTAAATTGTTGTTGTATGTAATAGGTTGATAATCCCATGAAATGTAGTCCATTTAATCACCTTGTGAGCATGTTACTAATTTGATATAGAATTAGTACTTGAGACATCTTGAAATGGTAATTGGACTTAGCATGATATAGAATATCATTGACTTGCATAGCTTATTTAGATATATCTTGTGTAGGTGTATAGCTTGTTAGAATATTACAATTGTTTACCTTGGAAGCTAGTTACTAAATTGGGACTTATTTAATACTTGTGGCTTAGTGTGGTAATGTGGTTCAATTGTTGTAAAATATTCTTGTTTTGGTTTATAAATTGCATATTGGAGGCTTGACATGTCATATGCTATCTAGACTTGAATTCTAGGACATGGTTTGTGTGGATTCAACCTTATTTGTGCATAGAAGATGGTTTTATGCATTAATGGATTTAGTATAAGTTTGGTCTAACTTACTGATTTTTGTATAAGTTTTGGACTTATTGACTTTGGAAAGCTTGTAAGGACATATTTCACGTGATGGCTAGGGTTTGGCTCTAGTACAGAGACAAGAGTCTTCTAAGTCATAAGTGCGCACTATGTAGTACCTTGTGGGTCGTAATTGCTCGAAATAACTTATGCATGTACGCACTAGGTAGTGCCTTGTGGGTCGTAATTACCCGGAAACACTTGCTTGGTCTAGTGACCACATGTCCTAGTCTTTCTACTTTGATTTGGCATTCAATTTCAAGTTGTTAATCATGGATTACTTGTAACTTGAGAATTGGTGCTTGCCTATGTATTTTGATCTCATTTAGTATACTTGAAACTGTATACTTGAACTTGTATCCTTGTTGGTGTATCTAAACTCTATCTAGTGTATTTACGCTTAGTATGCTTGTCTTGTGTGTGTGGATTTCATTTTTGTATACTTGTGCCATGTATACTTATCTTATGCGTATTTTGCGTTACTTAGTATACTTGTGCTTGTATACTTGATTTGTGAGTACTCTATTAGCATATCGAATACTTGTGTAGGTATGTTGGATATTGCTCTTCTTGTCTAATATGATTAGTGTACTTGAGCATGTATACTTGTATGTCATTGTTCATTTCAGTTGCATGAGTAGCTTAGGATGATTCCTGAGTCTCACTTTGACATAGACGCTAGGTGGCATGAGCCCCTTTAACATGTTTCACCATAAGGTGATAATTTGTAAAATGCTAGGTCGATGCATGCTCACTTCCTATGAGTAGCTTTATGTTACTTATCCACGTAGTGGGGACATTTTTCAGGTATGAAGACTTGGTTCGTGGTGCTCATTGCTCCTTGGGTAGCTTATAGTTTCTAAGTTACCATTTTATGAAAGTGTTAGCATAAAATGCCTCTTTGTAGCCTTATTTGTCTAAATTTATATTCTTTGAATCCATGTATGTAAAGTATACATAAGTGCACTCTTTTCAATGTATTTAACATATATGAGATGAGGCCAGAAGCCAATGACATGTATCTTGCATTCTATGCACTTTCGTTTTCAAGGCTTAATATGAAAATGGTGAAAAATGCTTAGACATTGTGTCATAACTTTTGCATCGGGTGTGGGAATTTCATTTTTATTCTTTCGTAGGGCCTCATTAATTATGTATGAAGTGTGGCCAAGGGCCAAATGGTAATTTAAAATCAATTATTAATTTTGGTTTTCAAATTTCCCAATTCCTGTGCATTTTCGCCTTTTTGGCCGTTGGGGGGTCGGATTTTGCATCGGGTCTTCTCGGGAGCTGTGGACCATTCCCGCACGCTTAAAAACACTAAATACGCTTGCATGCACATTCGTTTCAACCTAAAAATGCATTTAGGGCCAAATGCATACTTGGTGCAAAGTTGCATTTTTTTTTAGTTTTTGACCCCTTACCGAGCTAGGGGCATTTTGGGCATTTTACAGTAAGTTTTTTTTTAATTCTCTCATGAGTCATGTAGAAAACCCAATTTTGAGGGGGGTTTATTCTTTGTGTTTTTCCAGAAAAATTCATCTACTAGCCCGTTTTTACTCTCTGTTCTGTCTGTTTCTGGAAAAAAAAAATGCTTGTAGCAGCTTTTTGGGTCCCTCTTGACCTACTCTGTTCTAGGGGCATTTTAGGGATTTAGTAGCATGTTTTTTTTCATTTCTTTCACATAAATGGGTAGGAAACATGATTTTAAGGGGGGTTTCTTCTTCGTGTTTTTGCAGAAAAATTCGTTTAAGGGTCCGTTTCTAGCCTCAGTTCTGGAAAAAAAAATTGAAAAGTTGCTTTCTATCAAAACACTATTCCTGCCCAAATTTTCATTCCCGGAAAAGTTGGTTTTTTTAAAAACTTTGAGACTTCATATCTCCTTCGTCTTGACTCCAAATCAAGTGATTTTTGAGTCTAAGTTTATTAACTTTTGCTTGTCTATCCAACGGTATGAATAGTTGCATCCAATTCTATTTTAAAAGACCATTTTACCCCTTGCAAAGTACCCTTGCCACATTGATTTGAACCCAGAAATCTATTTTTTTGAAACTTTGAGGCTTCATATCTTCTTTGCCCGGACTCCGAATCAAGTGATTCTTAAGTCTAAATTTATTAAATTTTCCTTTTCTATCTAATGGTATGCTCAGTTGCATCTAGTTTTGTCTTAAAAGACCATTTTACCCCTTGTAAAGTACCCTTGCCGCATTGATTTTAACTCAAAAGTTTGATTTTATGAAACTTTGGAGTTTCATATCTTCTTCATCTGGACCCCGAATCAAGTGATTCTTGGGTCTAACTTGGTTAATTTTTTGCTGTCTTCCCAGTGGTGTGCTCGGTAGCACCCGATTCTATATTTTCATAAATAACTATTTTGTCCCTGGGGGCTTAATTGTTATTTTTCCGATCTCTTGCTTCCGCACTTTATTTCATTGAGTTCCACGACCTCATGGAAGGTCATTAAAGTGTTTTAGAGGTGTGTTTTGCCTTGGGAGATTGTTGTCTTGTTTCTTGCTTCCGCATTTCGGATCCATTACCGGATCATCCTTTCGGTTCATCCCTGACGCAGTCGCCTAAAAACCAGGGTCGTCACACCAAAGTTCACTCCCCCAATCTTCAATAGACAATATACACTTGCTCAAATGATCAGATCAAATTATAAAGTAAGGTAAGACAATGTAAGTTCACAACAGCAACATTAAGGTTAGAAACCCAAAATCTCAGTTCTGTTAAACATAGCCTTAAGAGGCTTTAATTCTTCAACTGCTAATAGCACCCTCAGCATAAAATAGATGAGTTACACTTTTTCTACAACTGGGACAAGTTATACATTCAATGGGACATCAATGCAGCTCTAATAACATCAAAACAGTAGCTTGTAGCAGGCCCGTATTATGCAACTGTAATTTTCTAATTTGAGGGGTAAATAAGTAATTGCGAGACTGAACCTTCTTGTTTCAAGTTCCCTCAGTTTTATTTCAATATACTACACTTGCTCACATCACTACTTCTCAGGTTATAGCCAGTAAACAGCAAATTTCAGTTCAAATAAGGCTTCAGAAAACAGTTTCAGCTACAGCAATGTTATGACGGCAAATTTGGTATTTTGACACTACTAACTTCTGGATTTTAGCTCCCTTAAGTGTATTTTAACTATATGAAAGTGCTCAGATGGATAAAACATTAGTCACACCAATGTATCCAATTTTTAACATCCAACCAGCCTTGAAAACTACAACATGCTGAAGCAAGTATGGTTCAAGATACAAAAATAGTACAGGTCACTCCTCAGTTCAAAACTCAACATGGATAGCCTCAAAATAACATTTTAATCACGCTCAGGTGTTTAACAATCATAGTATAGCAAGATTATAACAATATATACTCAGTTCCAGAAGCTTAAACCAGAATACTAACCAAAACTTGAGGTTTGAGATACTAAAGATTGTACCAGTTGTTATATGAAGTCCTCAACACCTTCAGCAGATGTATATCACTAAGTTATGCATGCTCAGACCTTGTTCAACCTTTAGAAGTGTCCATAGCAGAATTTGAATCACCTCGGCCTCTCTTTTACCTGAAAATCAGCACTTGATAGCCTCAACCATCTTCACTACAACTATGCTTCCTTCAGGCAAATTTCAGAGATTCATTGAAGCTCAACCATCATACAATATCTCTTAACTTCTTGTTCATTTTTTGCTCTCAAATAGGACTCTCTCTCAGCTGCTGCAGCTTTACTTTTTTTTTCGCTTAGAGGCACACCCTAGAAGGCCTTATAATAGCATATATATATAAATACACATATAGCAGCCCTATTACAGCAGCTCCAATACACCTGTCACCTTCCACCAATCATTGACAAGAATGATTTAGATATTTTTCAAAATAATGCACCAATGCTGGCCTGCCACCTCAGCTGTTTTGTCATTATTCTTACCATATAATGACACCTTGTGCATCAGTAAAATTAGTTCATACAGGTGAGACCACAATGACTTTTATCTTGCTTAGCCTCTAAGTTCTACAACATCATTGGAGGACAATATTTTCATGGTCCACAGCCACATGTCACAGGTATATTCTAAGCACATTCACAGCACACTTTGCACACAAGCCTTCCCCAAATGCCCCTTATTGAATGTAATAAAATGATAGCTTCGAGTATGAATACAAGGGCTATTTTTGCAATGCACCTTCACTACAGGGTTTTAAATTGTCTCAATAATTTGGATTGGCTAAGATACCCTCGGACCATTGGCAGAACTTTGTTTGTGCTGACTATGAGCTTCATTACCCTGTAAATGTTGAACTATGTACGTGCCGAACCCTGTATGTGTTGAACCATGTAAGTGCTGAACCTTGTAAGTGTTGAACCATGTAGTGCTGAACCTTTACGTGCTGAACCTACTTAGTAAGTGTTGAACCATACGCTTTACCGAAGCTTCATTACCTTATGCTGAACCATAAGCCCTGTGCTGAACCATGAGTAATGAACCTGTAATTACACTTGGTAGCCCATTGAACCTGAGACTGTAGAATACTCTTGACATTGAAATTGCAAAACACTTGATCAAACATGGATCAACAATCTCCCCCTTTTGCACTTTCAAATGTTAAAAACCCTTTCATCTATTTCTCCCCCTTTTTGACATTGGAAGTCAAAAGGTGGATGGGATTAACAATGATGGATTGAAGGCTAGCAATTCTTGAATTGAAGAGTATCAGAGCAGATGAGGTACAAACTTTAAAGTGAAATACTAGAGCTGCCGAACTAAGCATCATACCTGTAGGATTAGTTTGCAGATCCTTGTCTCTAAGAGGAGGAGGCCTGAGATTGATTGATTTAGCTATTACATTGATCACCACACCTTCAAAATGAATTTTCTGGTCTTTATCTCTAAGTGGAGGTGGTCTGAGATTATTAGCCCTTGAGCTTTGTAAAAATAGAGAGTGATGTTCGAAGGCTTTGACTTTGACTGACATAGGTGTAGGTTGTCTGCAACTCCAACTAACTATATTCTTTGAAGAAACACAGTGGATTGAATGCGCTACCAGGTTAATTAATACACCTTTAGGATTAATTATCAAGTTCTTGCCTCTGAGTGGAGGAGGCCTTGAAGAATCAATTACAGAAATACTTTCCTCCTTATCATTTCCCTTTTCAAAGGACTTTAAATTCCTCTTACTGCCGAATTTCAACTTTGATAGGCTTATGGAGGCTTTGAGTTCTTGAACTTTTGAGAATTCAGCAAGTTTTCCTATTCTTGAAAGGCTTGTAGCTGTGAGAACCATCATCTCTGAGGCTTGAAATTCACTTGCTTTGAAGAGGTAACCAGTATTTGACATTGAGAGGAATGTGTTAATCCTGAAACTTGAGTGCTCGCATTTTCTTACTGAGTATACTATCTTTAGTTTGCTGAAAGGATTAGTGGAAGAGGGACAGTGATTATGTATTCAATATCTGGTGATCTTCTCCTTTTTCCAAAGTGAACCTCTTTGTGTACAAGGATAGCTTTATCTTTGGAGGCTAATAACTAAGCCTATTTTGAACATCTTGCAACACCACTTCTGTGCACATAACCATTTTCTTGTGTCAGATTAGGAACTTTCTTCATACTATCATGAGGAATCATTAGTCCTTCTTCAGATGTATAAGAGATGGGACACCACAGATGCAATTTCGTGCATTTTCCAAGTCTTCTCAAGGAATCTCTAGCTCTAAAATAAGTTAGATAGTGGGCTACAAATGAGAGGGAGCTTATAACACCTAAATTAGCTTTAGGTGAACCAAGAGGTACACTTTTTGAAAGCTGCCAATTAAAGTACAGTTTGTCACTAGTATCTTCAAGTGAAACACTTTTTTCTTTGGGAACACCTTTATTTTCCATTTCAGTTTGTTGCTTCAATGATTCACCAGTTTTGGAAATCCATGCACATGTTAAAGTTTTCTTTGGACAATTCAGACTAGAGTTCCCTTGTATTCTCACTGAGAGAGTCTCCTTCTTATAACTTTGCAGCATTGAGCCCTTCTTCTCATTGTTAGACTTCTGTAAACAGCTCCTTTCAAATTTCCATCTTCTAGGTCTATAAAGCACCTCAATCTCAGCTTGACATTTCTTCTTTAGATTAAGGATGTAGAGATCCTTTGGATTACAGTCAACCTCAATAGTAGAACCATGTTCAACCTTGCTTTCATCTGTCAAAAGTATTGAAGAACCTTCTTGAACAATGTTGTTCTTTGATTTGAGCTTCACTATGTTACAAACAATAAGTGAAAAATAAATTAAGACTGAGAACTTAGACTTGAACATAAGTATCCTCTTCAGTTTTCTTTTCTTAAATATAAGCTTTTGTAGACTGAGTGGTCATATCCTTGGTTTTCTCTAATGCTTCATAATCTTCCTGACAAGTATATTCTGTCCCAAGTAAGTCCCACACTTCCTTGGATGATTTACAGCCCTTTACCTTCATGAGATCCTGATGGTTTAAACCACTGAATATAGACTGTTTTGCCTTTGAATCATTAAATATATCATCTTCATTAAGCATTGATAATCCCTTGATGGCAGCATACCACACCTCATATGACTGAGCCATTAAATAAACCTCGATTTTGATTTTCCAATCTTTAAAGTTTGTGTTATCAAGACATGGTGCATTGTCAATGCAAAGACCTTCCATTGTGTTCCAGGAATCTTTACTGCAGGCTTGTTAATTCCTTGGTTGAGCAGACTAAGGCTATGATACCAATTATTGGACCAAGAAGGGGGGGTTGAATTGGTCCTAGGTACTTTCTCTCTTTTTCACTTAAGAACAAACATACATAACATGGAAGGTAGAGCCAGTACAATCAAGCAAATCAAATAGACACAAGATATACAAGGAAACCCTATCAATAGGGAAAAACCTTGGTTCTTGGCCTCAGCCAATAAATGCCTCCACTAGTAGTATGAACCTTGTTACACACTCAGTTGTCTCACTCTTTACACACACCCAAGCACAAGAATAAACACTAGTTTTCACAACCAATCCACATTCACTAGTTCACCATCTTCACTTATTGCATTCAAGTAGTTACTCACTCTGCTGCCCCACTTTCCAACCACCTTGTACTAACTAGGACACTGATTTTCACTCCACCTACACACTCAAAAGATCAAACAATGTGCACACAGGCACTCCCCTAGTCCACAGCCCCTTTGTTTGAACACACAAAGCTCTCAATAGCTATATCAACAATGGGGTGAGGATGTAAAGCCTCACTACCATATAAAATGAAGTGTCAATACACAAATACAATATACTCAAGCTGGAACACAAAATAAGAGTGAATACACACAGCCTTGAGTACCACAATACGAGAGACCCTAGTTTCACTTTTCTGCAGCAAGAGGGGTAGATCTGTCAAATCACTGTGCAGCTTCACTTGATGATCAAACTAGGTTCCCACAGCCTTGAATCAGTTAAATACACATACTTGAATGATGTACACAAGTAGATAAGTAAGGTAGAACAAAAACAGCTCCCAAAAGGCTAAAACCCTATAATCGAGGGTAAAGAAATAACTTCCCAATGTAGCTTCAAGAATGGCTTGCAATGGACTCCCACAGCTCTGTATAGCTAATATACACTTACAAAGATGTCTTCCTCAATTAACACAGCAAGGTAGAATAGATTTAGTGCACAATAGAGTAAAACCCCAAAACCAAGGATAAAGAAATAACTTCTAAACGCAGCTTTAGAATTGACCTGGACTTGTCATTCACAGCCTTGATATCTTCATATATCTTTGCTCAACAAGATTCAAACTGATTAGAGAAATGCATTATACTTTCACTTCACAAAGGCTCAAAACCCCACAACTTAAGGCTGAAGGGTAAAAAGGTAATTCAACTTCAAAGACACACAAAGTTCACTCCCCTAGTCTTCAATGGACAATATACACTTGCTCAAATGATCAGATCAAATTATAAAGCAAGGTAAGACAATGTAAGTTCACAGTAGCAACATTAATGTTAGAAACCCCAAATCTCAGTTCTGTCAAACACAACCTTAAGAGGCTTCAATTCTTCAACTGCCAACAGCAC